CATGCATAGACAATATAAAGTTAATTTGTTTTCTTAAAAAATGCAAATTGAGTGGTTAGAGAAGGTTGCGTTGTTCCAAGTGTGCTTTAATAAACATCCCTGTATTGTGAATGAATCTCCCCTAAATGCTAACGTTAAGAAATGTAATAAAACTACCAGTGCCAAGCAATACATCATCTGTGATATGAAAATAATTTAGACTCATTTTTCAGGTTATAAATATATATATATACAGTGGGTACGGAAAGTATTCAGACCCCCTTAAATTTTTCACTCTTTGTTATATTGCAGCCATTTGCTAAAATCACAGCAAGTCACAGATGCTGCCTATACAGCTCAAGTTGTTTTGAATTTAACATTCTTTAATGAAATTCAATGCAATTCAATAAATTCCAAAAAGAATGGATTGCCAAATTCAGTTATGTCAAGTCATTATTAATACTGTTTACTGAGTGCAAATGTTTACTCAGCCAATTAATTCATAGTATGTTTGATGTTGGTATTTTTAAGGTTATAATTATTAATGCACAATTATAGGAGATGTGTTGACAAAACTATTAACAATTAACCTTTTGCTTTCTCAGAAGCATTGTTTTTATTCCTATAAAAACCTGCATCTAACTATATAAAAATAAAAAGCGAAACACTATTTCATGTAGCGTTCAAAGACTCGACGGAATCCTAACTTGTTTTCTTCGAGGTGTATATATGCTAGTCTAAACACGTTACATTAGTTGTAACTATGGCGGTTTAAAACAATGCCTTGATTTTGACATTGGTGCAGAGGTTTCTGTAATGACAGACTCCATATTGTGACTGCAGGAACACTCACGATCACTCGTGTCATAAGATATTACATGTTCTGACACATATCAAGCTGTATGACACCAGTGGCTCATATCTTACTGTATGATGTTTTGTGTTATGACATCAGTGACATAATGCTCAATAAACTGGATGTGCTGTCAATTAAAACAAGAGTTCAGCATTGGGTATATAATGTAGGTCATTGTCAGAAAACGGTATCATTGTTCCAATGACTTACTACAGATACTGTATCATTAACAGTAATAAGTCAAAGTACCGTATTGACCCGAATATAAGACGATGTTTTTTTTCTTGGAAATACATCTGAAAAAACGCGGTCGTCTTATATTCGGGCCAATACGGTAATTGATTTTTTTGGAGACTTAACTCTGTAGCTCTTAACTCTGCATGTGTAATGCAAAAAAAAAAAAAAAATTTTTTTTAGTATTTAAAAAAAATACACTAAAAATCTGCCAATTTGCATGTTCATTCATCGAAATTGCATATACATTTTGTGTTGTACTTATCGTATAATAATAATAATAATAATAATAATAAATTGTGAATCAATCTATGAATAATTTATTATCATATAATATCTAGAAACTTTTTTTTTTTAAATTTATGTTTAATTCAATTGAATTAAATGTTAATGTTTAATTTTAACTTTCTATTCAATCATGTTCTGCTAAGATGCTTGCCCATTTAAATATAATAGTATGAACTTTCCATGGTCAAAAACGTCATATGGTTGTCAAAAAAGTCAAAAGTGATTACTATTATTATTAATATTATTGTTATTTATTTATTATTTATTATTTTTTTTGCACTGATCATCAACCTGTGGCATTTTTAAAGTTGTTGAATGTAACTGGGTTGAACATGTGAAAACCAAACATATTTTTTAAAGAATTATAACGGGTTATTCACATTTTTGTGTGGCAGAATTAGGTAACAAAATATTTTTTAAATACCATTAACCTTTTCAAATGAAATGACAAAAATATATCAATAAGTAAGTAAATAAATACATAAATTGATAAATACAAACACAAATGGCACCGTTTCATGAGAATGACTCCAGAATGACTTATGTACACCAGTATAACTGGACATTGTCTACATACACACTGTATAGCAATTTTAAATAGCACATATTCACACACACAAAAAAAAATTGTTGAAAGAAATATACAGGCATTTTTAATGTTGCTCTGCGCACAAAACTCTGTAGTTGACGGAGAAATCCCGTTGGTACGAGAGAGGACGTACCAGTCGCTCACTTCTCTGTATATTGCTCCAATGTTGGCTTGCTTACATACCTCCTTTTTTACATATTTTCTTGTTGGGTTTTCTGGCACATTCCTTGGATATTCTTTTGACTGTAAAATGAATAAAAGACTACAAAATAACAGAAGGCTCTGGAAGAAACGTTTGAGGAGAACATGCAACAACGTCACTCCCCCTCCCCACAAGAACAACAAAGAGAACCTGTCCAGAACATTAGCTGGGGTGTTTTGTCTTTCGGGCAGAAAATATTCCCAAAAAGGTGGAATTGATTTGCTGCACCCTGGAACACAGGAAGCCTAGTTTCACATGCACTGCTATATAAGACCCTTTACAAGCACAAAATAAACTCTTCCTTATCGCAACCCCTGCATCACTCCAGGTTTTGCATGAGAAATGCACGGCTCTGTTGCACAATGCACCAAATGTGCTTTGAAAACAGATGCAGAGAATTGCTGTAAGTGTGCTCTACAACCTTTAAGTCCATTTTGGATTTATGACTTAAGACGAATTTCAACACCAAATAGCTTAGGTAGCTTTCGATTAGACAATTAGGTCTGTTCCAAAACATAGTGCCCTACCTAGACAGCATTTTACTGCACGCAGCAGAGGCCTGCTGGCAATAACATTATGCTGGCTTCTTGGCTATCTAATTGTGCCTAAATTAAAATTCAGCAATGCATCTATCCTTAACAGTGAAGGCAATCCCAGAATGCACTGCACTGAGCTCACTGAAAAATGGTGGAGTCCAATATTTGTGTCTACTAGGCCTTATTTTACTTAATAAAGTACTGTGTCATTAGCTTAGCAACTTGAAAACGTTAAACTCAATTGAAATCAATTGCCAAGTCCCCCATGCGCTTCATGTGCGGAGCGTCATTTGTGTGCTTATAGTAGAAGGTTCCAAATCAGTCACTTGTGAGGCTGCATTTCAGTAAGGAACAGGGGTTGTGTAAACCATTTTTAGAAATGTCAGCCATTTTTTATCCACCCCACTTTTTGGGAGATGCTGTAATCATTATATTTTAAGAGTTCTGTTTTGCTTGGATACAAAACAATAATAAAAAATTAGCTAACCAAGCCTCTGGTAACAGGTAGCGATGGATACACAAACGATACTTGGTACTACAGCTAGCACCGATTGAGAACATCTATTTTGAGAATTTTATCTTGGAGCTGAGGTGAAACCTGCATATGCAAATTTTAAACAATTTAAAAACAAAATCTTTGCTGTGACATACTGTGACACGGGCATCCATTGACCAATGATAAATTCAAGTAAAGTGTTGTTTTTCTGCGCCCGTCCACTTTATTTTAAATTGATATTGCTCTTTCCATGCCCTCATAAGGAATTTTACGCATTCCTAGCATCAAAGTCTCTGCTTTCCTTCAAAGTCTTCTAGCTTACTCTAGCATGCACGAGTCTTTAGAAGGCAGCTCACTAGGTTTTGGAACAGAGCTAGCACTTTTTGCTTTCAAATCTGTAAGAGTTTGTAAGAGGCTCTTTCTGCTGGGGTCATATTTTAATGCCACTCAGCGGGTGTTGCATGCATCAGTCCAAAAGAAGTTAAATAAAAATCACCCATCCATAAATAAAAGTGTCTCACACGGCTCCGGGGGGTGAACAAAGGCCTCCTGTAGCAAATCGATGCGTTTTTGTAAGAAAAATATCCATATTCAAAACATAATAATCACTTTAATGTACCCTCCGACATTCTTTGTTACAAATCCTCGTTTTGTACTTCTAATAAGTGACCGTTGTTTTGTTTTGATCTGCACTTCTGCGTTCGTCACTTCTGAGCGGCGCATGCCCATACGTCATCCTCCCGGAGCTGCTTCCGTGTACAACTGTTGGCGCAAGCTTCCTCAAGACGGGCTTTGAACGTTAACAGAAGAAAGTGGGACAGTAAAGGGTCTTATATGGTTAGGACGGATGCCACAGGCCTCTTGTGTTCCAGAACATTTTTGCAACTCTACAAAAGGCTCATTCTGGCATCAAGCAAGCTAATCTCGGATCGCTAATCCCCCAGAACAGTCAAGACAGTGAGGAGAGGGAGGTGCACCAAGATCATTACATCCAAACTTCATGTCAGATTAGAATCTGAGCTCTTACATTAAAATGATTACTTTCTTCTAGCTTTCTTTCTTTCTTTCTTTCTTTTTGGTTTGCTCTCTTGAACAACACAAAAGAGGAACCCGTAACAGTGGCATGGAAGGGAAGAGTTGATGGAAAGACTTCATGGCAGATCAAGTCAGGATGAGGAACGGAAATAATGAACACAGACACAGCATGCGCCGGACAACAACTCATGCTTCAAACACAACACAGGAAGTGACAGAATGTAATAGCGAGATGCTATTTTTTCTTTGTTATACCCGACACACTCACCATCTTCTGTTGGAACATAGATGTTTAGATACAAACAATCCTCGTTTTGATCTTGAATATAAGTGGCAACTATATCCAAGTTAAAGGTGAACCAGATTGGCATCATGATCTCTGGAACGGCGTTGTGAATGTTTTGCGGGCACACCGGCGCGAAATGAGTGGCGTTTTTCATCCCTGACCAAGACAAGGGTTGCTCAGGGGGAAGGAAACGTTTCTCCCCCACCGGTGGGGCGGCGTATGGCACGCCAAGGTACTGGTCCACTGGTCCCAGGATCTCGCTGGGCAGAGGAACCCGTGCACCTCGTAATTTCCCATACTGCGTATTCACGGTGGGGTGGTAGCTTTGTCCCCTGACGAGCGTCACACACCAACAAAAAATCCATATCCACAGAGACACGTTGTGAGCCCTGCCACGGCAGCAGTCCTGCTGGTGCAAAACGAGCCGGTTTTTGCGCACCGCTAACCACATGGTCCGTGAAAATGGCCGCTGCTGCTTGGTGCCGATGTACGCCGAGAAACTCCTCCAGCAAGTGTCTCCTGCCTTCAGACCCTCAAACTCAGCCGGATTACTCCTGTCATTGAAGAAAAACACATACACGCTCTCTGGTCCCCTACGGAAAAATCCTCATTCACTGTCCAGTGTTCTCGTCAGATCCACTCTCCTGCAGGAGAAAAACAAGATGAACATTTTAAATGGGACCGTTTTTTATACTATTGGCTTTTCTGTGTGCGTATAGAACGACACATATAAATATGACAGTGCTCTTAATGCATCCAGACAGTATCAACAATATATTGGAAAAACAGTTGGTTTTCTTAAGTTACTTCCTGGGTTTGTGACATCACAAACCCTGATTAACCCCGCCCCCGGGAACATGCAACAAAGGGGGTGGGGCTAGGGCTGGGCAAAAAATCGAATGCAATTTTCATGCGAATCTCGTCAGTAAAGCTGCTTCTGGTGATTAGTAGTAAATCTCCAGCACGTGCTTTCAGATGGAGCAGCATTTACTACACAGAGCCATAGTTTACTGACAAGCTACACAAAATCGCATTCATAATCGCAGGCGATTCATTGCCAATTTTGAACGCGATTTTGTGTAGCTTGTCAGTAAACTATGGCTCTGTGTAGTAAATGGCACTCCATCTGAAAGCACGTGCTGGAAATTTACTACTAATCACCAGAAGGGGCTTTACTGATGAGATGCGCATGAAAATCGCATTCGATTTTGTGCACAGCCCTAGGCGGGGCCATGTTGCACTGCTTTAGAGAAGAGGAAGAAAACTAGGGGTGCATGTAAAAATCTATTCATATATGAATCACAATTCTGTCTTCTAACGATTCTAATGGATTCACAAGTTTTAAAATCAATGTTCTAAAGCAGTGGTTCTTAATCTTGTTCCTCGCGTCGCCCTGCTCTGCACACACTCTGCACATGCTCTGCATCTCTCTCTCTCTCAATCTCTCATTCAGATCACCAGCTCAGCTCAAACAATGAACTGTTCCATTTATACACATATTTTCACATAGCTATGAGAAGCATTATACATGGACACACGTGCGGTTGCTGTACTGTATTAAAGCTTTAATCAGGATAAAACCATATATTAAAAGCTAACAGAAGCAGTAGCATTTACAAATAACAGCGTATCTAAAAGTATGCGACAACACCAAACAAAAAACATACCATTAAGAGCCGTGCTTGCACAGGTTCTGCGCAATACTCTTCACTAATATCCTCTGCGTCTCAATCAGGCTCAAATTGATAAGCAATATTGACGACGTCCTTGTTTACAATACAACCGGAGCACATGCCGCTGAGGCGAGGGGCGTGGACGTTTAGACGCGCACTAGAGGCAGTTTAGCCAATCACAACACACTGGACTAGCTAACCAATCAGAGCCCATCCCGTATTTATGAGGGAAGGGCTTCATAAAATCAGGAAATAATCAGCGCGTTTATAGGAGAAGGGACAGAGCGGTGTAGAATAAAGGTAAATGATGTGAAAAATAATGCATTTAAAAAAAAATATTTAAGCATTAACACGTTAGACTGCACCCCATAAACACAATCAATCCTAGAAAAAAACAGTCAACCACCCCTTTAAAATTAGCAAGAGGCAGTATTTTTCTGCTTTCGGACGCAAACACTTTCCATGCTAGCATCTGTCTAATTTTTGAACACTCCTCGAATTTTGATTTCTTTTCTAGGGAGAAATTAGCATTGTAGTAATTAAATATTGGCTTACTTATCATCAAAGCTCTCTCTATTTTGTTGTAGATCATTAAAACATGTTGCCTCAGAAGTCTGTCCAAAATCAGTTTCGTGAGGTACCTTCATGCACAAACGCTCCCTTGTAGCTAAAGTCATTGCCTGATAAGGCAGCGAGGCAACAAGTGCAGCTCCCTAAGCTTTTGGACGCAGCCAGACTGTGACATTCCCTCATCTTCAGATTCCATAAACAAATCTATGCAAGGTATAAAGAAATACAACGCAGACTACATTAAATGCGATTTCACTTCCAGCAACAGAGAACCTTGTTTGTGCCAACCAAACATGTAAACTATAAAGAAAATGTTAAACTAATTACTTGCCAGTGAATAACAGTAGACTTCCTACTTTTAAGCTTATCCTGGTAATAGTAATATTTATGCATTTACAATAACTTATTTTAGTACCATGCTTGTTCATCAAATATAAAATCTAGATCCTCAAGCAAAACCAGTTGAGAGCCACTCAATCAGTAAATAAAACATACTGTATGAGGGTTTTCCGTCAAGCCAAAATTACATCTCTGTCCAAATTCAACAGAAATGTGTTAAATAAAATATTTTTCAGGCACAGGTCCCCTGTCCCCATCTCTGGAAAGCTGGTATTTGTAAGTGCCTCGCGGGCGCCTGTGCTAACACTGTAAATGCTAATGATGAGGAGGGTCGTCCCCAGTGGAGAGAAACTCTTCCCTGCTCAGCTACTGATCAATTTTCAATTTTTAAAGCTTAAGACCCTCAGACCTCCATCCCTCGGAGGGCCTGGAATTATAACATGGAGAAAAGCCGGAGTTTAGTAGCGGATATTGCATTCCAAAATGACTCTGTAAATGATTTATAATGTATCTAGTGGAGCAGTATCCACCAGACAAGAGGCAATATGAATCTTCCTGGAGGTGCAATTATCACTCCACAACTCCTATCCAAACTTGGGCTGATTTGCACAAAGCCTAGCAGGAAGTTCTTCATCCTCCACCTCATCATCCGCACACACTTACTGCTGCCTGTAATCGGCTGGCGTCTATGGATGGTACAGCTGATCTCCAGAGAGAAGAGGCCCACTGAAGCAAAGGAAATGTCCAGCCCAATCTTGGCACACTTTAAACACTGTTTTCTCAAACTCATGACTTGTCCAATTCAGTTACTACTTGAGTGAGAAGTGATTTTAACAATTGATTTGAGAACTAAACAGAATTGATTTTTTTTCCACTCCAGCAAACTTGTTTAAAGGAATACTTTAATCCAAAATTATTTTTATACACTTAGATGCACTTGTGATATATGCTGTGCCATGTTCATCCATGATGACTGGCTATGATACCAACGTTTGATGTTACGGATGTTAAACCTGGCATGATGCATCTATGAACAATGCATTTGAAGGCAAATGTGAATAAGATTTGATAGCCATGTTGGAAGAGTACAATCATTATTTTGATATAATCACATATTTCATTCAGTTTCACACAAAACCATTGTATGTCTTCAGAAAATGCACTATTATGATACTTTTAAAGGGGTCATATGATGCTTTTTTAAAGATAATTATTTTGTGTATTTGGTGTAACAGAATATGTTGACATGCTTTAATGTTCAAAAAACACCGGAGCCCCCAAACTGCACCCCATTCATTTTAATTATATAGAGAATATCTCTATATATATATAATATATATATAATATATCTATATATATCTGTCTCTCGCAGATAAAAAACTTGAGCATATGCAAATGTAATGTTTGAGGGAACCTTTGAAATACAGTGAGCATTGACGATCAATAAAATATATCCTGGATATGTACTGAGATAAAGTACGCGATATTTTATTTTACAGTTGAGACCCTGCTTCCAGCTGATATTAACATGCGATTGTGTTGATCTGATCACAAGTGGTCCGCCAAGACGCATTACTGTTTCCACCTGATATGAACGTGTTTCAAATGCGTCTCCTGTGAACACTTGCGGTTGGATTTCACTGAGACCCTCCCCTCTTATTTTGTCACACTCAACATCACTTTCATGGGAGCGCCGAGTGCTCACATTCAGGGAATCACATATGCACATATTGGTGTACAGTATATGAGATGGTCCTCACTGCAGAACACAAGATCCAGGGGGCGAGGTTGGATCCAGATCCAACTCCTCCCACCTTACATATACCTAAACCTACCCGTCTCCACCCCGATCCCTAAACCCACCCATCTCCACCCCTAAACCTACCCATCCCCACCCCCTAAATGTGGATCCAACCCCGCCCCCTGGATCTTTGTTCTGCAGTGAGGGACTACTGCAGTATATGCAGCAGCAGCATGGTTAAGGTTGTGTATTTTGTGTGAGATTTAATTGTATTTATAGCTATTAGGAGTTTCCTTAGTTAACATTTATCAGCTTGGCAACCATTGTATATTCTCAGCTGCCTATCCTGGTATTTGAGAGTTGCTTTTCAAGCCTTTTTCACTTTTTAATGACAACACACCTGAAAGTCTCATTCCATCATGCCCACACATGTGTTACATGGTACCTGAGCCATTGAGACAATGCGAACAGATAGCTTTCTTCTTCTTCTTCAAAAAAAAACTTTTTGAATGCAGATCCACTTGAACCATGTCACCATACAAGGGCATGCATATGCTAAATACCTCTGAAGTAAACTAACCCAGAGCAGATTATGTTCAGAGAAGTAGCAATGGCTACTTACATACAATGAAAGTTACTTCAGTTTTTAGAACCAAAAGTTGAGGTTATTTACCTACTTATCCGGAAACTTATCCAAGCATGTTTCTGGAATACCACCATCTCCCCACCAAATGTGATGCAAAATTTCTTTAAAATGCAGGTTAACATGATTTGTATTTTATTGTAAGTTGTTTTAATTAGAATACATCTTGTAGTATAATGTAATACTGGCTATTGAAGAAAGACTGATGATAATAGTCATCAATAGCCAGATGTCACTGTTGTAGATTTGATTAGTATTCCTCTGCATTAAACTTTATTGCACACCTCACTGTTGAGACTTGTGAATCTTCATCCGTGATGTGTGAATTATGACTGTTATGGGAGTGTGCATTGGGACACATTGTCATAAAATGCCGCATAATACATGGTCACCATCTTAACACCTTCTGTGGGAAAAACAGCACAGAACATGCAGAGCTGTAAAGACATTGTCAACATTATCCTGAAACTAAAACTACAGATAAATATTTCAGATAATATCACATTTTGTAAACATTGTCACATTGGAAGTGGGTAAAAACAGAGGAAAAACATTTGCAGCACATCAGCCCTACACACACTGTATTAGATTTAGCCTACACATTATGTATTTCAAGTAATAGAGTAATTACTAAAGGCAGAAACATGATGTCTCACCTGTATCTCTGCCTGAAAATGA